AAAAAGGTGTCTTGCGTTGAGGATGTGTGCCTTGCATATATTTCCATCCAGTATGAAAAGAGCATGGGTCCCGAAAATTCTTCAGAAACTAGAGAAATTATCTACGAGAACTCTAGAGAAATTCTCGTACTGATCAATTAGGACATTCAGGGGAACATTATCAGATCGAGCAGATCGCCCAAATGCCGGTGGCTGCGATAATTTCTCTGTTTCTGAAGAATTTTCGGGACCCATGCTCTTTTCATACTGGATCGCGTGTGCCTTACAGAAACTGAAAAGTTCTTCCTATATCAAAATATAGAAAATAATCTTTTGTTACAAAAAGGTTTTATTTTCTTTGCTGATTATTTTGAACATAAAAAATCATAAATCCGTTGCAAAAAAAAAATAATTTCGTGAAAGTGAACTATTTCCTTTAAGTTTACGTTCCTTTGAAGACATTTCTAACGCCATCTTCTATCCGTGTGAGTTACCCATCTCCCTTTCCAAACAGGCAGATGCTTTTTGACCGATTCCCCGACCATTTGGAAGTGTTTAGCCTTTTACCGCTCGTTATCGAACCTCTCAGAGCATCAGATAAGCTAAACGATAGTTTCCAGGTCTGCGCGCGCCGTGCCCGCCGTTCCCGCCGTCGATACGGTCTAAATTGGCCTGCTATCGGCCCGTTCATCGGGCCGGTGGACGCCCTATCGACGTGTTTACCCGTTGATGGCAGAGTGGCGTGCGGTGCGACTTTTCGGGAGTTGCGCGGCCGCGGGCCGGCCTGGGGCGAGACCCAGTGGGAACCCGGCCTTACGGCGCCCGATGGCGGTCTAACACCGGGTTTGGCCATCCCATACCCGCCTCCGTGCCGGATTTGTAGATAAAGCAGCGGGTTGGGCTGTTTTATGAGGCCCCGGTGGCCAGGTTTGGTATTACACCCTCCTGTGCAGTTTGGTCGGTCGGGCCGACCGGCGCCCAAGGCGGGAGTCGAGCGGTGGCGATAGGGCGCGCAAAAAAACGTAGAGGGTCTGACCAGCACCCGGCTATTTGCGGGATGGTATGCGCGCCTGGTCAAACGCATGGGGCCAAATTAGTGGTATGAAACCCCCTTCCAACCGTGTAACGAATGTGGATATTTGAACGGGGAAACACAGGACATAATTAATTTTGTTCATTCCCTCCTTGAGCGGTGAACAAAACACAGAAATGGACCGATTTGTCAGGCGTGTACTTGAAATGGTCGTTATCTTACCGGTTACTTTTTACAGAGGAGAGTGTATACGCACACTGCGACAGCCGTGGTGAATCGAGCACAAATTATGGTAATGGTCGTTGGCCATTGACAGCGCCATTACTACACATCAATGTATGGATTGCCTCTAACGACACATGACAAATTGTTCTATGGTGGGCCACGAGAGCAGCTCACAAGTTCAGAACAATTTTTCCATCAACCACGGCTAAAACTTTTGGTAATGAGCTTCTTGATCAATTGTTGCAAACAATTATGCTCGATATACCTAAGGCAATGCACAGACCCACTGTTTTTAAAGATGTCACATTCCTCTTATCCAAAAGCCAGCAAACGCTCTGACTTGTCCTTAAAAGCAATAATATCAACTTAGACATTTTCATTGCTCTTCAGCTCCCACGTCCATCCCCTCTCCTCGGACAAGGCCGTAACCGTCTTGTCACTCACCCGTACCGATATGTTGACATGTTTATTTGCATTAAGATACAATGATACCATGATATACTGATATGGTCAATCAAGCGTTTTCGCTGTCCCCCGCACACATATCGCTGCCAGCCCCTCCCCTCGTGCATAATACATCCCGCATGGGCCTGATGAGAGCGACCCGCGCGGCGCGGCGTGGCCTCGCTAGCGCCGGTCTACCTATAAGCAGCGCTGAATTCTCCCGACTGACCGCTCAGACAAACACAGGTTAGGTAAACGGCCGCTGGATGGCGCCTGCATTACACTCTGTGCACAGTGCACACAGTGTACCTGAGGAGGTACAGTGAGCCGAGAGCTGTGCACTGTTGACTGTGTACTGTGCAGTGTGCAGTGTGCAGGTTGCAGTTTGGACGTAGCTCAGTCCTATACTTTCCTTCTATGCACAGCGGATACAAGCATCTCAGGAGAACATGGAAACCAAATGCCTTCCTAGCGTTCCTACTATGGGTGGGTGTGCAACTGCGCGTGATCCTGAGCGAATTACAAAAAGAAAAGGCTTTTTGCTGATGAACTGCTGTCAATACCGCGTCAGTTGTTTTGACGATAAACAAGTGCATTTTTCCACAAATTTCATTGCAGTTCGCAATTAGAGTTAAAATGATGAAGGGTCGTAACGTAACCATCATCCCACTCAGTCGGAAAGTATAAAGGAAACCGTTATTTCTGGCGAGAGGAATTAACGTTGCTATCGTATCATGTTTGTCTGCTTGAGCTGTTAACCAACATACCAAAGCGGACTTGACTGTGTCGCGATTCTCAAGGTATGTTCCTTTTTAACGGAACGCTCGTTTTGCATGTCAGAGACAAAGAGACCCCCAACATTTGGTATGTGTGATGAGCAATGATGAGTAATTTCAGCAAGGTGTATTACGTTTAATGATGGATATTGCTGTTGAGCATGAGGTACCACGTAATATGGCCTTGGATACGCCATTCCAAAGACTTAAACTATTTCCTTGATGAGGGGTATAGGGAGAGAGAGAGAGAGAGAGAGAGAGAGAGAGAGAGAGAGAGAGAGAGAGAGAGAGAGAGAGAGAGAGAGAGAGAGAGAGAGAGAGAGAGAGAGAGATAGAGAAAGAGAGAGAAAGAGAGAGACAGAGAGAGAGAGAGACAGAAACAGAGAGAGAGAGAGGGAGAGAGAAGGAGAGAGAGAGGGGGAGAGAGAGAGAGAGGAGAGAGAGAGAGAGAGAGAGAGAGAGAGAGAGAGAGAGAGAGAGAGAGAGAGAGAGAGAGAGAGAGAGAGAGAGAGAGAGAGAGAGAGAGAGAGAGAGAGAGAGAGAGAGACGAAAGTAGTCGGCTTAGTGCTTAGTGGTCGATCACGAGCAGAGCTCTGATCAATGCCTGTTTTATGGAACCACAAATGTAGGTATTATTGATTGTTTGAACAGAGATCACCCATCGAGCGGCATCCCTGGATGCCCGTAAGGGGCAGTGCTGAGTCCGTTCCTGTCATCAGGTAATGATTAATGCCGCGCCCAGATATTAGAGAATGACGTCATGTGCTGCCTCTAGTGACGTCATATTTCACCTCGAGTGACGTCATATTCCACCTAGAGTGACGTAATTACCATCTAGCTGCAACGAAACTGGCTTCTTGCATACTGGGTCACGGCAGTCGAGCTATCGGTTCTTGTCATGGAGACTGATCAGTGATCAGTGATGGCACGGCGCTTGGGCTTTCCCAAGAGAAAGGTGAGAGTCGAAGAACATCGACCTGATGATGTCATGCGTCCACCCGTTCTATGCTGTTGTGCCGTTGTGTGGGTGGACACAGCCTTAAACGGTGGCAGATGCATTCGATAGGCAACACCACAGCGGTAAATGTACACTCCCAAGAAGTTAACGTCGTTGTGTGAGTTGTTCAAGTGAATACTGATTCACTGAGTGAAGCCGAATACCCACAAAGTGAATGTTAGCAATGTGTTTAATACCAGTCATCAAAGCCAAGCCTCAAGTGACTTCCAAAAGTGAATTCCAAAACTATGAGGTAGGGGACCCCGAGATGGACTAGTGTTATATAAGCATATTTATCATATTCATGAGCAATGCATACCTTTACATGACCGTAAGGTCACGATTTTACAATGTCAGGATTTCGTAAAGAATAAATGAAAACCAATAGCGATTCCGTTGGATGGCTTCGATACCGTTATGTACCCACTTTCTTGACAAAAGAATTATCAAAATAAAATGAGTTTAGTTTTCCCCCTACACTTAGGTATATCTGAAAATGAAATACTTTTATATCTACTTGCATTAAAACCACTTGTGATAGTTCGTATCTCAACTACAAAACGAGATACGCGTGTGTACTGTCATTTGTCAGCCATGGCTTATGCTGGCCTCTCGCTGGTGTTATGCTCCTCCTTCAATGCAGTCTCCACTGGGCGGGGACGCTCGGTGAGCTCAATCATGGCCGCCCTGCACTGTCTTAGAGTAGTGTGGACGTTACTTCATTGGAAAGCTTTAGTTTCTAGGAAAGCATCCTTCTTAATCATTGTTGTTTATATGTGAAGCATTTAAATCATCTAACGAAATCTTCAGCTAGTGTCGATAGATAAATAAAACAAAAGACTCCAAGAAACAATATGACGGCAAGCACTACAAGAGTACTTATAACAACGCTAAGAGCATGTTAGCAAATAGTTAAGTTCCCTTCCCCCCAAAAAATACTGTGAGATTGGGCCTAATCACACCGGCATAATAACACTGAAATCCCCCCCAGCCATCCCCTCAACAATCACGTCTTACTGAGCACAGACAACACCCCCTCCTCCCTTCCCCCCATCGCCATCGTCACGACCCGCCACCGTCCCGCTAGAGCCGCCCGGTGACCCGTCACTGACCCTGACCTCACCAGTTCCTGGTTCACTGATCGCCGGTGCTCTCCTCTCCTACCCAACCGGATTGAGCCACTACTGGCGTCTGAAAATATGCATCCATACCCTCCGATGTTTACATGGATTTGCAGCATGCGTGTGCGTTTCGGAGACCGGTTTTAGAGGCGTTTTCCGGTTAAGGCTGTCTTCTGAGAGTTCCCAAACATCGTTGGTGATTCCGAGACTCCAAGGTTAATTTGCCGAAGCACCTGTCTGGACGGCCGCTGCGCAGGTGACTCTATAATCGGGCACGACGCCAATCTACTCAGCATGCAGCGCTGTCCGAATAGCGAATAACTCTCGTGAGAGGCGTCGTCACCGGTGGGAAATCCTGTTTGGACCGAGGGCATATTTAGAGGGTGGCCTCGGCGGCTAGCCAGACCGTGCTCAGCCGTGCCGCGATGAAGACGTGCCGAGTCGTGCTGTTCGCCGTGCTGGCGGCTGTGGCCGTGGTGCCGGCCACCACCCAGGAGTTGGTCTCCTCCCTCTGTCTCGGCTGCATCTGCGAGGCCTCCAGCGCGTGCAACACGCAGCTGGGCTGCGAGAACGGCTTCTGCGGGCCCTTCCGCATCTCGAACGCGTTCTTCATCGACTCGGAGCTCTCCAAGGAGCCCAACTTTGCCCAGTACAACTTCCAGTCGTGCACGACTGACCCCTTCTGCTCGGCGGCTGTCATCCGCAAGTACATGGCCAAGTACCCGCGGGATTGCGATGGGGATGGCCAGTTTACTTGCAAGGACTACGCCATGGTGCACAAGGCCGGTCCTGACGGATGTACCAACACTCAGCGAGTGAGGGTGACTGACTACTGGCGCCGCTTTGAGTCTTGCCTCTCCTACTTTCCCAACGCTTAGGAGCGATGAGTGATCCTTGCAGGACACCCAGAGGTTCATCATGCTTGAGACACTTGGTGAGACACATTGTGGGACTTCTTCAGGACGCTGCAGCAAGGACTTGAATGGAGAGATGTTGGAAAAATACTGGACGGAGCTTGGCGTCTGGGAGGAGCTGAAGAAAGTCGTGTCAGAACTTTCGAAGGAAATGGAAAGCTTGGCAGGAGGTACCACGAAGAGGTTGGACCGCTGAACAATACGAAGCCATGACTAGATCAAGATTGACATCACTACTGTTGAGTTCAAGCAGCCGTGGATCGAAAAGGGCAAGGTCTCCCCTTGCGTCCAGTCTTGGGCTTTTAACTCGGCTCGGTTTTGGCCTTCAATGGAGGCTCGAGTTGCGCTTCTAAGCCACTCTTTTCTATGGGGCTAGAGCACCTGATGTGGCCTGTGTTGTTTGCATGACTTGTGCCGCTCTTCGACAGGGCAGCTCAGTCGATGTTGCATGCTCATGTTGTTTCCGTGTGTGCAGAGGTGTTGTTACAGCCATGAATATAATAAACGTGATACGACAATAAACCATGAATGAAATAAACGTTCTTTATAGTAAAAGCGCACAGATATTTTTTAATCGGAGCCATTTATAGTGGCATTGGAAAACAGAGTCCTTTATAACTTTTTTTGGGGGGAGGGGGGCATTTTCGTTTCTGTGCAAACGGCTGGGCCACTCAACTCGAGGATGATGGCGATAAAAATTACATCTGGTTGTGAATGAAAAGCCCATTGCAATGCGGGAACAGAATGTTCACAGCATCGAGGACCCGTAGGAATATTAAACATTAAAATACCAAGCGTTACCTGCGTAATGTCCAACACGCATATTTCGACAATTTTGAAACCTTTAGCATAAAAGTTACGTCAATGACCTAAGTAGACCTATGATGACATCGTGTTTGGTATTTGTACCCATCAGCATTATAATTGTGCGGTTTCAAATTATATTTTTATTCATTAGAGACCAGCAGCGCGACTATGACTGGAAAGTCTGACAAAGTGACAGGTGAACGTATCTACATAAAGGTGTGATGTGATCGCAGCTTTCAAACAAGTCTGACGCGATGTCGCAAACAGAAGACGATTTCTTAATTTGCGAAAAACAGGCATGACGACAACTTTTTCATTCTATAAAATAACGTTTCATAGTGTTTAGGGTGTCTTCCTTTAAGACTGCTAAAACCGACAAGAACATGCTCTTACAGTATGAACAACACCAATCCCTCATAAAATGTATACGGAATCTTTCCTTACCCATGCCGGATCTGGAATTCCATCAATCGGAATTTCAAACACTCTTATGCCTAAAACAATTGAGAAAAGCGAAGCTGATCACAAACTTCCCGGAATACAACTATACCCGCACCGGAAATGAGAGTCAATAATGACATCAATTGATGACGTCACAATGGAATAATGAGCCAAGATGACTCTGCCAGCCTTCTACGTAGGCATGCCCTTGGCCGCAGCTATTAAAGCTGACAGAACGGCTGTGCCGGCCGCCACCGCCGCCAAGGCTAAAGATGACGTCATTGCAGGCGGACAGTGACGTCACTGCAAAGGAATGATGACGTCACTAGGAACTGACAAATACATCACACCCTGCGGAGATAAGCGCAGGTTAGCAATGCCTAGAGGGTAGGGTAGATTTAGGTCCGTACTTACATAGACCCGATTAGCATAGCTTATTGTCAAGTCTCATTTTCAATCCTAAAACTGTCGTTCATCCCACGTTACTTCATTTCCTCTTTTCTTTTGTCGTTCAAATGGGTCTACTCCACTTCATCGCTTATAAGCTGGCTCTCGTTTTCATTCACTCTATCTAACATAAAATAAACACACACGGTGCAAAATAGTCCGGAAGGTCCGAAACACCTATACTCAACAAAAGAAAGGATGAAAGAAGGAAAGACACTGGCGCACTTTAATTGTATATTTCAGCCACACTTATGTTATTTATCATGAAGCTGCAAGGATTATATCACCATTTTCTTTCAACTATGTACTGAATCCTAGGCATATCTCAGTTCAAATTGAATCATGTTAGATTATTGTTTATGTGATCTCGAGTGCATTTACAAAGATCTGGTGGCCTGGGATCTGAGCCCATGTTTATCATGGCACGGGTACCTCAATTCTCAAGCCACACCCCAGGACATAAGAGGACATATCATGTTCGGTTGGAAGCCAGAAATCCCCGCGCTGCACCCTTCTCGGAAGAACTTGGCTTACATTTGACGGCCTGGAATCTCAGTAACACCGCACCAGGCAACTCCCTGAGTGAGCCTATGGCATGTCCAGTGTCCAGTGTGCACTAATCGATAAACAAATGACTCCAGTCGGGCTCGTCGGGCCGCACCCAGTCTCGTCCTGGCGATCGTGGAGTCAGCGCCAGCGGCGGAACGATGAAGCTGCTGCTTCTCCTGTTGGTGGTGTGGAGCGCAGCGCTGACGCCCGTCCTCTGTGCCTTTACCGCTTCGGTGAAAGATATCGTCGACGGCCTGGCAGACACCTTTCTGGAGCGAGTAGGACCAGTCTCAAGGACAGAGCTCAGGGATCAGCTGCAGCACGTCAGTATCACGACGACAGAGCTCAGGGATCAGCTGCAGCAAGTTGAGCAGAAAATAACCGACCTCCAGGCACGCCAGACAGCGGATCAACAGCAACTTCAGCAACAGCTGGAAGAAATTCAACGTCAGCTACCTCCTCCGACACGAACCCCCGGAGCTTGCCCTGCCAACTGGATTCGCAGAGGAAACAGCTGCTTCCTAATATCCCCCACCAAAGCGACCTGGCTGGAGGCACACCAGGGCTGTGCGTCTTACGACCCCAGAGCGAGACTGGCGTCCATCCACAACAGCAACAAGGACCACATTCTTAGTCTGCCGAGCGACAGTGAAGAGGAGGACGTCTGGATTGGGCTGTTCAGACGGTTTGGTGGCAACTCCTGGGCCTGGGTAGACGGTACACCGGTGGATTATACCAGCTGGAAAAATGGAGAGCCCAATAACAGATGGGGGAAAGAGGATTGTGTGACACTGTATAAACTGATTATACCCGGAAAGTGGAACGACCGGGAGTGCACGGGTCAGTACCCTTTTCTGTGCCAAATCGTACTGAATTGAGATTGAGTGATTTTCTTGACTAAAGTCTGAACGTGCATCCAGATGGCTTGTACCGCGGTTACCGCAACTAAAAAAGAGAATGTTTTAAAAGCACGCTCCGCATGAGTATATTTCAAAACTTGTCGCTGCTCATTATTCGCAAAAAACCGTAGGGGTTGCATCAACCCTCTGACCAGTTGAGGGTCATGCTACCGGGGTGCTTATAGCTAAGGAGACCATTGGCGGATCCAGCCGGACTTTGGGGGGGGGGGGGACAAATGGCCGAAATGGCCTATTTCTTTCCATGAACCACCATGGGCGTAATGTTAAAACTCGGGTCTCGGGGGAGGGGGGGGGGGCACCGGGCTATGGGGGGAATGGCCTTGAATACCCCCCCCCCCTGCATCCGCCATTGAAGGAGACGAGTAGCTATTCGTAGTTTCCCGACCGGTACTATTACGCAAGTGCTATATGCTTGGGTCGCAAGGTGCATTTGTGTTTCTCAAGCAAAGGGCGAGCGGGATGTGTAACCAGAATGAGGTTAAACAAATACAAACTAGGCTATTCGTAGCTATTCGTAGTTTCCCGACCGGTACTATTGCGCAAGAGCTATATGCTTGGGTCGCAAGGTGCATTTGTGTTTCTCAAGCAAAGGGCGAGCGGGATGTGTAACCAGAATGAGGTTAAACAAATACAAACTAGCATGGGTGGAGAACCTGCCCCGGCCACCCCGGCCGTGGCCGGGGTAACTTTCAGCCTACCCCGGCGCGGCCGGGGTAACTTTTCTCAGCGTGAAGCCTGCAGGTCCACCGAATTCAAAAGTTGATTAACTTCGCTGCGCGTGTTGTGTCTGGACGTCGGAAGACCGACCATATTTCGGACGTGGTTCGATCGCTGGGTTGGTTCAAAGCAGACGAGCTCATTTCCTATCATCGAGTTCTTGTCATTCACCGACTCATGTCATGCCTCGTTCCGCCGCCATTAGCGCAGACTATCGGTGCTCCTGCTCGCCGCCAGCACGATCACGACACACGGTCTGCTGACCTCCTGACTGTGCCACGTATTCGTACCGAGACTGGTCGCAAGCGCTTGTGTTTCAGCGGTGTGAAATTGTATAATGAGGTACCGAAGCCTGCAGGAACCTCATTCAAGACTGCTGCAAAGCGCCACCTGCGTGCCGTCGAAACGTGACGAGAGCTGGAGCCGGGAGGTTTGTTGGCGAGTGCTGTGATTACCTGTGCGCCCTATATGGATAATGGGTATACTGTCACCTGCCTTACGTTTTTGTTTGTGTATCTGTGCTTTGGATGGATGCTACTGTATGTATACCTTTTATCACTGTTTTATTTTTACTACGTACGATGGCGAAAAGCCACCAGTTTGCGTGGATCTATCGCGAATACACATTGAATTGAATTGAATTGAATTGAATTGAATTCTACTCTTGTAAATCCTAAAAGCTGTCTCCATACGAGAAAAGAAAACTCACGCTCTTCGAATGTTGACTTCCATGGGCGTAATATTGCAAATCAGGTAGGTATTTACCATTTACTTAACTTGCCATAATCTCCAACCCTAAGACCCGCGTGTGGTCGCCAATGCCAAGATTGCTCTCACATCCTGTTCAGTTTCGAAATTTTGGCGCGCCTTCGGCGCACTTTTTCAAAACTACTGTTTGACCTCATTGCCTTCAACTGACCTGCCACCAACCGCAACCACACCCGTTTATGAGCGTACCCGTCAGGGTGCTCATAAACACCGAGCGGCCATCATGCTTCGAACTCGGACTGTTGTAACCGGGCCGCGTGCTCTCGCCACGCGGAATCCAACGCTCTAGCAACTGAGCTACGAGACCGGGACCGGTCGATATTCCTGGATCGACTCCCTGTTTGTATTATAAGAGCCGTCCAACATTGAAAAAGGCTACGCCCGTGGATGTCAGTGACCTATTTTAGTGCTTTGCTTGGTTCGATCTGTCAATTTCTCTGTAAAGCTTCTACTATGGTGAGTTGTCTTTTTGTAGCTATTTTGAGACACAATAAAAAGCTGAAAAGTGAAAACGCAACATTTAGGTACTCAAAATGGCATATGGTTTGGTTTGGGTTCGGTGTGAAATTGGAAGTTTAAAAAGAAATAATGATTTAAAAGGAAATTGCCTTTTCGATCATTCCAAAAATGTTATGAATATTACGGTGTCGGATACAACGCTCATCCTTGAGCAAACACAGCATCCTATTCCATGCGTCAGAATAGGGGTTTGATGATGACCGTTGAGAACAACGTGAGTATATCGTCTTCCCGCGACTATCGGTCGCCGGCCGGGGTAACTTTTTCAAACATTCTCCACCCATGCAAACTAGGCTTTCGTAGAATAAGGACGAGTTTTACACGCTGCCAGCTGCCAGTTAACAAAGTGTGCAACACAAATGTATTTCAATATGTATTTGGAGTTGTAATACAGTTATACCTGTACCTGTAATGGGTCAGTTCTTTAACCGACACCGGGCCAGGGGGAGGGTTTGAACAACCCCTTGCGATTTTCGCAGATACCTTAATGCATATGTTCCGCAATTCAGACCCAGGTCTCGCAAGGTTAGGTCACCAGGTCACGTCAAGTGACTTCACCTAAGAAAAAAAAAATAGAATCCTCGTCATAGCTACACCGACTGAACGATCGCCTTAAAACCTTCAGCGATTGATAAGAGTGACAGTATATATAAAATCTAGATCTCGGAATTTTGATATCGGTGACCAAAGGTCAGGTCAATTTTGCGATTATAAGTCAATGGGAGAAAATTGAAAGGCGCCTTTTTCGGATGAACGTCATTCAAAGCACTCTCAAACATCGGATTACAGTTAAAATCAATAAGCTGAACAAAAACAAAATGGCACCCAGAGGCGGATCCAGCTCAGAGTTTTTTTTTTTTTGGGGGGGGGGGGGGCAAACCATAACAATTTATCGATTCTTTCCATGCATCGTCCATAGGCGTAATGTTAAAATTATGCCGTTTGGGGGGGGGGGCAAATGCCCATTTTGCCCCCCCCCTGGATCCGCCACTGATGGCACCCATCCTCTCCTTATGTCCTTGAAGTCAAATCAGGTTATGAACGGTCCCTAGCAGTTTTTTGACAATAACTTTTGATAGAGACATGCTAGAGCGATGAAGACACTTCAAATGTGTTCAGCTCGACAATACGGATCGACTAATATGCAACATGACCTTTTCCGGTCAGGTCATGACCTTGACCTGAGGTCAAATTTTCAAAAAAACTTTTCTTTCAAGGTTAACTTAAGGTTCATTCGACGCATCTCGACGAGAGGAATACGATGTTGGCAAAAGTCCTGTGGCTTTCTTGAGTCAAGAGTCATTAACGAAAAGCAGTTTTCGTGGAAACGGCTTTTTTTTAAAGAGTTTTTGCCCTCTGGACTCTGGAGGCTAAACCGTTGACCTGAGGTCAAATCTGAGGACATGTTGACGCAAGAGCGTTGAAAGGACTATCGACTGCGAATGCGTTGTTTCAAAAATTGTAGAAATAGGCAAAATTTGACCTTTAATGACCTCTGTCGACCTGAACTTTGAGATGACCCCAAAAAATGACCGAAGTGTTTCCGTCATTATTTTTGACGCTGTTTCGAATGCCGCTTACCGCGTGTCGCTACGTGGCCCAGGATCCAAGTTAGACGGGGGTGTTCAGACCCCTGGCCCGGCGCAGTTGGCGCCGAGCACCGGGGCCCGGAGAAACAGAAAGTAGGTACTAGCTCGTCAGTCGTCAGCTTCAGCGTCTGCAATGACCATTCCTTGACCATTTTGCAGCCTTATTCGGTCTAGACCGGGGGCAGATCCAGAATTTTCTTCGCACAGGGACTAATGGCATGGTAATGGGGTGGAGGGGGGGGGGGCGGCATGTTTTCTTCCTAACACCTGTCTACCTGTCTTTTCTGTTGTGCCTGTTTTTTCTGTTTCTGTTTCATTTCTATATTTTTCTACCTGTCTTTAGTGAAAATTGAATACAATTTTCTCTCCCTTCCTCTGATGTTGTTTGTGGTTATGGGTTGGGCATGTTCATCGTATAGCTACGCAGGGCGTAGCTCCCGAATCGTAGCTCCGTAGGGCGGCATATCTTTTCGGCTTGGGACTTTAGCCCCTAAGGCCCCTCCCCTGGATCCCCCTGGATTTGACATAGCTCAGCTCGTCAACATGAACTATTTATGGGCATGGAACATAGTTTTGAGCAGCTTTGGCTTATGCCTGATGGCTGATCCAAGTGATCCTAATGTTACATTAATATTTACGTTTTAACGGAGCGTGTTAGAATGCAGTCGCTGATGGTTGATTGGTTGATCGATCACTCTGGAACTCATCGTATTTACAGTTATGCAAGATTCCTCCCTCCCCCAGCCAGCTTTCTTTCCCTCTCCCTTTCTATCTGTTCGTCTGGTTTGTCAGCGCTCTCTCTCTCTCTCTCTCTCTCTCTCTCTCTCTCTCTCTCTTTCCTTCTCTCACTCTCTCACACACGCACACACTCTCTCTCTCGCTCTCTCTCTCTCTCTCTCTCTCTCTCTCTCTCTCTCTCTCTCTCTCTCTCTCTCTCTCTCTCTCTCTCTCTCTCTCTCTCTCCATGAGTTATCCTCCCGCCAGCCTTGCCCTCACGTCTCTGGGAGCGGCGTGCAGCTAGCGTTCTCACATCCACACTCGTTAGCGGTATGTTTGCGCTCCCACGGCCGAACAGCGCGTGCCATGGTCCTCTCGACGACCCGGCAAGGGCGCGTCCAGGCACCGTGACACGGGGGGATTCGCGGCGGTGCGGATCTATCGGGAAATTACTGATTTTGGAAGGAGCAAAGGAGCCAGGAATGAAGTTTGAAAGAAGCTAACAGATTGCCTAATGCCTATCTGACTAGCCGGGGATTTGATATGGGCTGAATGAAGGGCTGCGCCTACCATAGCCTTCAAGATAATTTTCTTGGCAAAATTATGTGAAGACTGAAGATTGCTTTTTAACCAATCCTACCCGCTCTC